TGAAGGAAAAATTTTAAAAATCAAGGAAAAACACATTGAAACTTTGAAGAATGAAAAAATAACTTGATGTGCACCATAGCACCATCAATTTCGTCTTGTCCAAATCTGAACTGAATTGGATCACACATGTGTGAGAAAAAGCTGGTAACATGAAAATGTGCACACACATTGCACAGACACGACCCAAATTAATACCCCCCCCCCCCCCGGATCGCAGATCCGGCGGGGGCTAAAAAGTAGCTTTGCAGCACAAGGGCATCGCCTTCATTCCACATTCCTTCATATCAGCTTCAAATTATTTAATGATCTGCTTACAAAAACTGAGATTAATTGTGTATCATAGTAGTAGTAGGCATCCTACTGTCTCGGGAGATGATGGGTTTGCGCCCAGTGAGTTGCTCGCTCAGTCTTCATGGTCTTTCCAGGGCGCAGGTCTGGGCATGTGTGTATGGAAACCTAGTGCTGCCCAGTTAACAAGGTTTCCCTCTCCTTCGCATTGACCTACGAGCTGATTGAAATTGACTGGAGTGTTTCCAGTTTATTTCTGACTATGCAAGCCTGCATTGCATTGCTCATGTGGGATTTTCAGCAATATGACTTGAATGAATCAAAGAAAGCTTGGAAAGAATTCCCATATGCTGAAGGTATTAAAAGACATGAAGGAATACTGTATTTACTACATTAGAAGCACATCTTCATTACACATGAAAAGCATTGTATTTATTGAATGCAAAATAATTAAAATATGTTTTATTTTGACCATAGACTTGCCTGTGTCTTTTACATTTAAGCATATGTGCTTTTACTACTCTAAGAGCAAATTAAACAAGTCATTGAAAATTACACAGTCCCCGTTAAATTTTTGAAAGTTCTCTTTGTGCTCGTCACATTAAAGTGGAGGATTGTCGTGAGCATGTCCTTGAAACTTGAGTTCCAAGTGGCGTATACAACAGATTGTTTATTTACATCAAAACACGTGTTCCATGTAGTAGTAATATGGCCCAAAAAAATCAAAGAAAGCTTAGAAAGAACTCCCGTGTGCTGAGAGTATTGAAGACACAGT